GTATCGGATAAATATTTAAACGTAGCTTCCTTCGTTCTCTTTTTATCTCCAACGGTTGATTTCGCCTTTTCCCGTCTTTCGTGGCTCCTCGTTCCCAGCTACGAGAGCCTATACGTTTCACCTCCCTTCTACAAACGCCCTTTAAGCGTAGTGTGGGTCGGCCCACCTGAACGGTGTCTCGTAACTAGCTCACCATGTATTATTCTTTATGTGGCATAGAAATTTTCTTGAGGTATTTCCTGATGTATGTGTCCTTTTTATTGCCATTGTCCCTATAACTTCAATGTTGCTCACAAGTTCGGTCTATGGTCTTCTTAGCATCATTCTGTAAAACCAAATTTCTCTTGCTTCAAGTCTCTTCTTCATTCTTTAAATGTGGAATCAAAACTTTGCCTTCTTCCTGGGCTGTAATTGGTGATAATGAACAATTATTGATGAGTTCTTATAGGTGAAATAATTCCACCATCTGCAACAGTCTTTCATTTTTACATCATATTCTTACAGATGATGAAAAATGGGTTTTGCATGTCAACAGAAAATGTAAAATGCATTGCTGAAATGAGAAACTAGTGGAGGTCTTCTTGTGTCCAACAATTGGTTTCGCCTTTTCCCAACCTTCGTGATTCCTCGTTCCCAGCTACCTTGATGCCAACATCAAAATCAGGATTCCATCCACAGAAGACTTGCATTGTACGTGGAGGAGTGTAAAAGATATTTATCATGAGATGCTAGAATATGGCACGACCACCACTGCAAACACACAAATTCAAAACGTTCAAAAGCAAAGATGTTGAAAGCAGTCCTTCAAACATGTCTATTTGCAGGAAGAAAAGCATATTTCTTTAAACGTGAAATCGAAAGTTTGTCTTCCCGCCTGTCAATCTACAGTAGTTGAAAATTATGGTGACTACCATTTTTTATAAGTAATATTTAAACAAATTTAACTTACATTTATTCTCATCTCAGTCCTGCTAAAACAATTACTTATCGAACATCCTAGTAAAGACACTCTCCATTTCGAAAGAGACGACTGAATTGGATCCAGTTCCATGCATTGGAGATTTGACATAAAACTTAACGCGTTACGGTAATGTCTACTCAAACATCTCCGTTGCACGGAGAAAATATGTAAAAAGAGAATTGGATTACTCATGAGATTTTGCTTGTGAGCCAAACACAATGTTCCACCACCTGAAGTCTTTCAATCAGAAATGCGAACCTTTTATTTTTCCATCGCATTGTGACAAGTAATGAAAAATGGATTTTGCATGTCAAGAGAAAATGTAAAAGTCAGTTATTATTGCCATTTGAGAAAAGAGTACCAGCATGAAAACCAGGATTCCATCCACAGAATTGTACGTGGAGGAGTGTAAAAGATGTTTATTATGAGATGCTAGAATATAACACGACAACCACTGAAAACACACAAATTCAAAACATTCAAAAGCAAAGATTTTGAAAGCAGTCCTACAAGCTTGTTTATTTTCCAGAAGAAAAGCATATTTCTTTAAACGTGGAATCAAAAGTTTGTCTTCCCGACTGTCGATCGTCACTCGCTGAAAATTATGGTGATTACCTTTTTTTTTTATAAATAATATTTAAACAATTTTAAGTCACATTTAATCTTTCATCGTTTCAATGTACACCAACTCAAAAATCGAAGTCTTTATTCGCAGACTTTTATTTAAAAAAAGCTAATAAATAAACAACGAAACTGAATCAAATTTTATTGGGGCACGAAATTTATTCCCACGAAATGAGAAACATGAGCTCAGACGATTACTGTTGTGTTAAATTCGTTCATCGCTAGATGCTTTGTACCAGAGCAAGAGATGTTTAGTGTACACAAACTCAAATTTGCAATTTTTATTAGTAAGCCTTTACTAACAATAAACAAAATTCACATTGTCTGAAAGAAAAAAAATCGAATATTTCAATAAAACGATTAGATATGGCGTCACATATTTCAAGGCGTAGTGGATTTTGGAAACTTTTTATAGCAGCTGACACCGAAATGCAGACGATTCTCTTCACCTCTTTCTAAATATATAAGACACAACGTTTATTTTTAAAAAAAATTATCGATTTCTTACACTAAAAACAAAAAAGAGTTTGCACACGTGGTTGGCTTGTGACATTTGGGTAGGTTAATAAGGATTTCTATTTTGGGCACTAACCCATTACTTTTATTAAAAATAAAAAAAGAAAGAATTGTAATGAAAGCATTTATTGTTTTTCCGTGCCCTTTATAAATATTACTGAATTTTTCCATATCTATGTTACTCACTCATTGCAGATTGTACAAGTAGAAAAATAAGCACAGGAAATCGATTTAAAATCAGAAATAAAAAGAACTATGGATGGGATGCTACCAAACTGAATTTTAAAAATAGTACCTATAATTATAATTGTCCTTGGGATAAAAAAAAACTATGGCGCCTTCCTTGAGGAATTTTAACTTAACATCAAGAAGCTAATTAGAGAACAAGAAATGAGTATTATAAAATAGACATAACATGTCTATATTATTCAAAAAAACATTTTGAATGAAGATATGCTGTCTTAATATATATATATATATATATATATATATAATTGTATTATATATATACATATATATATATACAATTATATATATATAATTGTATTATATATATATATATATATATATATACAATTATATATATATATATATATATATATATATATATATAATTTATATATATATATATATATATGTATATATATACATATATATATATATATATATATATATATATATATATATATATATATATATATATATATATATATATATATATATAATGAGAAGAAAAGAACAGTAAGATATATATAATCCGGTGTTCTTATTGATATTTTTATTTTATTTTTACAAAACAGTGCTCAATGTAAATTTACACAGCATAAATATTATAAATTAACTGATTTAAAATATGGTTTCTTCGCTGTTAAAATTACCATGTTTCAAAACCGAAACTAAAAACTTCAAATTTAATTATATAATTAAATTAAAAGCATTAGTTTTGTTTAATCTTCAAGCGAATTTTGGAATCACTTATTTTTAAATTTACTGAGTTTTAAACGCAACTCAGTAAATATAAAAATTAGTCCAAAATTCGCTTGAAGATGAAACAAAACTAATGCTTTTAATTTAATTATATAATTAAATTTGAAGTTTTTAGTTTCGGTTTTTGAAACATGGTAATTCCTGTGTAGAAACCATATTTTAAATTAGTTAATTTATAACATATATATATATATATATATATAATTATAATTTTATACATATTTGATGCTAACTTTATTTATGCAAGACTAACTATAATTCTTTGTTCAGGATTCACTTATCAATTTTCTGATTTCAAGTACATATTTGAATATAGATTGTTCAATAACTGGGTATTTTCGGCCTTTCTAAGCCATTATCAAAGAATTTTCGCTATGTCGACATAATCATTTTCAATTATCGCGTCGTTGCGTTTCGCGTGACAACCCTTTTTTATTTTGTTCTTTTTATATTCTTTTATTCATGAAATATATTTCCTATGTTTATTCCTAAATGCGATAAAATTTTATTGATGTCAACTTGTTTGTTTTATTATCCTTAATAATTCTAATATTTATAGTCGTTTTTACGGTTTATTTGACATAGTATTTTTGTGTGTTTGGTAATGATTTTGTCTGGTTTCTTATTGTATGCTTGTATGTGTTTTCTGGCGGCGTAGAGTGTTAGTGATATGCAATTTAATTGAACTATTATCAGATAAATGTCGCGTTAATCGGCGCGATAATGTAATGGCTGTGTAACCTACATTGGTTTTTCTACATTCTCCTAGTGGGGAATTGGATTTATAGACAACATTAATTTGTTTGAGGTTTTGATTTTTCTTATCATAAGTTTTAATTTCATGCATATAATTTTCCTACTTCAAAACGTAATCCAATTTTATGCCTGGGTTTTTATCAATGATTTTTAATCTCGTGTTTGTGGGGCTGTGAGATTTTCCCATTCGCACCAATCCACTTGAAGTTAAAAATATCGGAGGATAAATACGAATAAATAAGTCACTGGGACATAATTACAAAATGGGAAGTTTAGTTCTCACTTTAAGATTTTAAACTTGTATTCAATCAAGCAAAAACAGTTTTACAATACATCACCGAAAATTTGTTATGCACGCTATACAGTAAAAAGTGAAAAATGTATATATTTTAGAAACATTACGAAATGACAAACATTAAATGTTATATTTGAATTCAGCTCGACACAATACATCATGGCGTACGACGTTTCCTGTAAGATCACTGAAGTTGAGCAACGTTGAGTCTGGTCAATAACTAGACGAGTGACCACTCGAGAGTACCGGGAGCTGGAAGCGCGGATATGTGGGTGGTGTATGTTGCAGTTTTTTTTGTGTATATCTACGTACTAGTGAGTTAGCTCAAATGACTTAACTCACTTTATAGTCCACCAATAGAAGGTTAACCAATCAGAAGACGCAGAACATTCAATCCGTCGTGTATAAAGGCGGCCATTTTGTTCACTCTACCCGAATGTCCAGTCTAGCTTGTCAGGCGAAGAGGAACCGAAGGACGAACTATGCTCTGCTACTTTTACCAAAATATCCACTGCTAACCTGAACAACGCTTTCCTACTGTCTTTGAAATATTCACTGCTAACCTCTGGATTCTATACTCGAAGACGACCGTCATCATGAATAACAGTGTAATGGATAATGGCTTGGAATCGTTTATCGGGGAGCTGAGTTCTTATTCTCGTTGGGTTCGTTAAATCACTTATTCTTGAGAAAGCTATGAATCCACCTCATCTCCAACCAGCTGTGAGATAATTAGTAAAGCTTGTATTACAAAACCATTATTATCTCAAAGAATTATTTCAATTTGTTCAATACTGTATATATATTTCTCAGTCAGTTCTTATCTATCTATCTAAATTTGTTCTATGCTATCTATCTTAGGTTGTCCCTATCTATCTACCTATCTGTTATATTCTACACTGTTCTCTTCTATATCTATCTATCTATCTATCTATCTATCTATCTATCTATCTATCTATTTCAATTTGTTCTATACTATCTATCTTTGCTAGTCCATATCTATCTATCTATCTATCTATCTATCTATCTATCTATCTATCTGTCTGTCTGTCCTATTCTGTAGTATCTATCTATCTGTTCTGTTCTACACTACCTATGTACATGTTCTATTCTATACTTTCTACCTATCTATCTATATATCTGTCTATCTATTTTAATTTGCTCTATACTATCTATCTTAGCTTCTCCATATCTATCTATCTATCTATCTATCTATCTATCAGTTCTATTAGTTCTATTCTATACTATCCGTTCTGTTCTACACTATCTGTTCTATTCTAGACTATCTGTCTAATTCAATTTGTCCTATACTATCTTAGCTTGTCCATATCTATCTATCTATCTATCTATCTATCTATCTATCTGTCCTATTCTTTAGTATCTATCTATCTGTTCTGTTCTACACTACCTATGTATGTTCTATTCTATACTTTCTACCTATCTATATATATATCTATCCATTCTAATTTGCTCTATACTATCTATCTTAGCTTCTCCATCTTATCTATCTATCTGTTCTATTTTATACTATCTATCTATCTATCTATCTATCTATCTATCTATCTCACTCTATTCTATCTTTCTCAGTCTGTTCGTATCTGTTCGTTAATCTGTAAGACTTGTATCACTAAACCTTTATTATTTTTTTTAAATTTACAGGCTAAAAATATTATCTGGCTTCAAATAACCTGCAAAACAGTGATAAACCGTACAAAATGAATCAATCAGTTCAAAAAACGATGCATCATAAATCGGACATTGATTCTGGATGATTTGTTGAAAAATTCTTATCCAGTCTTACAGTTTTTCCTGCAACCACTGCGATCAGATTTTAAAGAAAGAAAAAAAAAAACACTGAACCAATAACCGAAGCGTTCGATCAGAACTGAGCAAGCTTTATTTACCCTGATAACTGATTATGTTTCGTGGCACAGAAAGAAGAATGTAAATTTTATGAGGGGTCCTAAGCGTGAAGTAAAACCACTCACCTTCCCTCCTTATTCCATCAACGAGAAGTTCCACTCCATCAGCTTCCCCACCCCCCGGCGAACCACCACTCTGTGGAACAAACTCCCAAGAGGATGTTTCCCCGATCCCTATAATTTTAACCTGTTCGAGGTTTTTTTTTTTTTTAACCGTTATCTTGCCCTCCTATCCATAAAAACTACCCCCTTTAACAAAACCCTCTACCTTCATCTTTGGTTATCCTTACTGTAAAAAAAGTGCATTTATAATTCTTCCGTACATTAATTCCTGCTGCCATATCTGGTCTGCTTCTCGTACTATATATCACGTGATTCTCGACAAAAATCCAATGAAGAATCCGCAATGTTATCGGTCCTGGCCTGGCACCTCGACCAATCACTTTACAATAGCCGTCACATAGCTTCCCTCTGTTTTTTCTACAAATGTCTTGATGGTAAGTGTTCTGATTAGCTTTCCTTCTTAGTGCCTTGACTGCATGAATTTAAGCCTGCTACCAGATTGGCAACTGGGTCTCAGATTTTTACTGCTGAACTAGCAAGATGTTACCGTAAGTTCTATTCTAATAGTTCCTTCTCTTGCACTTCTTGCCTGTGGAACTATGTCCCGGTTTCTTGCTTCCCTGTCACCTACCATCTTCAAAGTTTTTAATGCAACATCGATCACCGTCTTCTGTCTTCTTGGGCCATTTATTTTATTATCTTTTCCATCTTCCAATCTCTCTCTCTCTCTCTCTCTCTCTCTCTCTCCCCTAAGGCGGAATGTGGCGATTCTGTCACTGCTCTTATCAATACTTTCATGTCACTTACATACTAGCAAACCAACCACATTGTCTCCACTATTTACATTGTTCCGACTATTGTTCTCATCTTTGTCGCCATATTTATTACAATGTTTCGGCCTTCTTCAGGTGGTTGGAATGTCAAACTGAACCCTTTATTTCACTCACTGGGGTAGACTGTTCTAGTTCCACGTGCCATTCCAACCACCTGAAGAAGGCCGGAGCGTACAACGGCCGAAACGTTGTAATAAATATGGCGACAAAAGATGAAGACAATAGTTCGAATAATGTAGATAGTATACATAATGCCTCATCTCAGAAATATAGACAGACACATTGTCTCCATAATCCATCAGCGAGAAGTAAATTCTATTCGAACAAGTTCTTCCCGCGAACCACTGCTCCTATTCATACAAACTACCCCTTAACGTAACACTCTACCTCGGGTGGCCCTTTATAGCTTACTGTAAAAAAAAAAAAGAAAAAAAAAACATCCAAAGCTGAATCGGGATAAATTAAGGCCCAAGAGCTTTCGACGTTTCCATCGGTTATCATCAGGTAGGTGGCATAGAATATGTTTAAGATTTTTGAAAAATATTTTAGGAATTATTCAGTCAAGATTTGACATTGTAGCCACGCTATGATGCAAGTTCAAATATTAACTGGGCCTTCTACAGATGATTCGGTAAATATTTAAACAATTTTTTCAGTTTATTTGAAACGGGAAATCTATATAGCTCGATGTTTATTCACCATCAGTCAGTTACGTGCCATGCGTGATAAAATTATAAAATAACAACCTAATTTTTTTTAAAAATAACAACCAACATTGATATTTGCGATGGTTATTGCAATATTTTCTTAAACTTGTTACGCTCAAATGTTTAACAATGTGACAGGAGAATTTCTACGGAAAGTTTATTGTAGTAAAACTTGCCATGAGATTACTAAATCATTAACTGAAGAATTAAGATTCATCAGTATATTAAATTAGGAAAGCCCTGACATTTTCACGGATCCTTCTAGTCATTATGTTTTACGTTTCTGTCTGTCCGTCATCCCTCCACCATATATATTTACCTCCAACATGTATTTACCTCCAACATGTATTAGCAGATTATACAAATTAGGAAAGTCGTGACATTTTCACGGATCTTTCTAGTTATTCTGATTTACGTTTCTGTCTGTCCGTCATCCCTCCACCATATATATTTCCCTCCAACATGTATTAGCATATTATACAAATTAGGAAAGCCGTGACATTTTATTTTACGTTTCTTTCTGTCCGTCATCCCTCCACCATATATATTTACCTCCAGCATGTATTTACCTCCAACATGTATTTACATTTGTCAGTTTTGTAGTAGTCGCTTCAGTCAGTTATGTGTCATGCGCGATACACACTTACACGATCATGTATCTTTCGATACATGACTGGCGAAACATATTTCCCGCAGTAGTTTGCCATTTCTTTCTGCGGTAGACCAAGGCTATAGAACCCGGTTCTCCTTCTATTTACCCATAGCTGAGGGGAGAAGAAGAGGATTCATACCTTTCCCAAGGATATTAGCACGTAAGTGAATGTAATGGATTCGACTGGAATTCGAACTCGGCTCTCCGATTCTTCAGTCCAAGTCGCTATCCATTACTCCACCGTGCCTCCTTTTTTCATCATAGTAGTCTGATTTCTAATCTAGAACATCTGGTTCAAGAAAGCAGCATCTTGACATGATTAACCGTAATACACTCCGAACATCTGTCAAAATCGCCTGTTGCTAATCCATATATCCCGCTCGTAATGCATCTGATATGACGGTGCAACTTTAATTTGTCACCGACGTATCCGGGTATTGTTTTCGACACTTCAAATCTCGCCAATTCTACTTCCGAAAAATAAGAGACGCGAAAAGATGAATTTTTATTCGGGCTTGCGTTATTTTATTTTTTTTCTTGTTATGATAAACAAATTAGATCATGCCACTTGCTAGCGAGGCTTCTCCCCTTACAAGTCATCGGAACAGAGATCTGCCAAAAAGTTAAAAACCAAACCAGAACCCAGATCAATCTCACCGAAAAAAATCCTTGCCCACCCGAGTCACATAATCCCTGGTCGACATAAAGAAAGGAATTATTTGCTTTCTTCTTCCTAATTATTTAATTCGGTTCTTTCTTTCTTTCTTTCTATTTTAGCCTATTTACTTTATATTTTTCACAGACTTTTCATATCTATCTGTTTCACTTTCTTCATTATCTATCTATCTATCTATCTATCTATCTATCTATCTGTCTGTTTTCCTTTGTTCATTATCTATCTTACTTTGTTCATTATCTATCTATCTCAATCTTTTCAATTCTATCTAGCTCAGTCATTTCATCTCTCTCCTCTCTCTCTATCTATCTATATTCTATATATATATATATATATATATATATATATATATATATATATATATATCAGTATTTCTATATCTATCTATTTTATTATGGGCATTATGTATCTATCAATATATTTTTATATGCGTCTTACTTTGTCCATTATCTATTTCACTTTGTTCATTATCTACCTATATATCTCAGTTTTTCATATCTATCTATCTATCTATCTATCTATCTATCTATCTATCTGTTCTCTTCTATTTATCTATCTATCTATCTATCTATCTATCTCAGTCTTTTCATATCTATCTTTTTTTAACATTATGTATCTATCAATCTATTTTTCTATATATCTCTCTTGCCTCGTTCATTATCTATCTATCTATCTATCTATCTATCTATCTATCTATCTATCTATCTGTTCTGACTTACGGCTACCTCACATTGAAACAACGGTTCCCGTACGGTCACCGAAGTTAAACAACATCGAGCCTAGTCAGTACCTATATGGTTGACCGCTTGCGTATACCAGATGCTGTAAGCTTGGGTGTGAGAGTGGCGTAATGGAATTATTAATTGAAGAGCCGAGTTCCAATTCAAGTTGGGTTCGGCATATTCACTTACGCGCCAATATCATTGGGAAAGATAAGAATCAACTTCTTCTCGCCCAGCTATCGGTTGATTAGTAAGAGTTGATCACTGAAACCATTAAAATCTCAAAAGATTATTCCAATTTGTTCTATACTATTTTTCTCACTCTGTTCCTATCTAGCTATCTTTTGTCTTCTATACTTACTATATATCTGTCTATTCTCTACTATCTGTTCTATTCGATACTTATTATATCTATTCATTTGTTCGATTCTATGCTGTTTTCTTCTAAAATGTCTATGTATGTATGTATGTATGTATGTATGTACCTATCTATCTATCTGTTCTATTCTATACTATCTATCTTTTCTATTCTATACTTACTGTCTATTTATCTGATCAATTCTATATTATCTATTCTTTTCTATACCATCTATTATATTCTATACAATCTATCTATCGATCTGTTCTCGTTTACACTATCTATCTGTTCTATTCTATGCAATCTATCTATCTATCTATCTATCTATCTCTTCTATTCTATTATTCTATCTATCTATCTATCTATCTATCTATCTGTTCTATTCTATACCATTTATTATTTCTATTCTATGCTATCTGTCTGTTCTATTCTATGCTATCCATCTATCTATCGATCTGTCCTATTCTATTCCATGTTATCTATCTATCTATCTATCTATCTATCTATCTGTTTTATTCTATTCCATGTTATCTATCTATCTATCTGTTTTATTCTATTCCATGTTATCTATCTATCTATCTATCTATCTATCTATCTCTTCTATTCTATTATTCTATCTATCTATCTATCTATCTGTTCTATTCTATACCATCTATTATTTCTATTCTATGCTATCTGTCTGTTCTATTCTATGCTATCCATCTATCTATCGATCTGTCCTATTCTATTCCATGTTATCTATCTATCTATCTATCTATCTATCTATCTATCTATCTATCTATTCTATTCTATACCATCTATTATTTCTATTCTATGCTATCTGTCTGTTCTATTCTATGCTATCCATCTATCTATCGATCTGTCCTATTCTATTCCATGTTATCTATATCTATCTATCTATCTATCTATCTATCTATCTATCTATCTGTTTTATTCTATTCCATGTTATCTATCTATCTATCTATCTATCTATCTCTTCTATTCTATACCATCTATTATTTCTATTCTATGCTATCTGTCTGTTCTATTCTATGCTATCCATCTATCTATCGATCTGTCCTATTCTATTCCATGTTATCTATCTATCTATCTATCTATCTATCTATCTATTTATCTATCTGTTTTATTCTATTCCATGTTATCTATCTATCTATCTATCTATCTATCTATCTCTTCTATTCTATACCATCTATTATTTCTATTCTATGCTATCTGTCTGTTCTATTCTATGCTATCCATCTATCTATCGATCTGTCCTATTCTATTCCATGTTAGGTTATCTATCTATCTATCTATCTATCTATCTATCTCTTCTATTCTATACCATCTATTATTTCTATTCTATGCTATCTGTCTGTTCTGTTCTATGCTATCCATCTATCTATCGATCTGTCCTATTCTATTCCATGTTATCTATCTATCTATCTATCTATTTATCTATCTGTTTTATTCTATTCTATGCTATCTATCTATCTATTCCATGTTCTATCTATCATCTGTTCTATTCCATCTATATATATATATATATATATATATATATATATATATATATATATATATATATATATATATTTTTTTAACCTGGTTCTAGCCGTGCAATTTGTTTTTTTGCTTTTGTATTCTTCATATTTACTTCCATTCTTCCTTTTTTATTTTTACTTGTCATTTACTTCATTTATTAGAACCAGATTTTGAAATATCCATGCCAGTTGTATTTTTTGAATGTTTCCCTTTGTTTTTCTAGTAAGAACTTGCAAATTAATGTCCACCCTTGATGGCTCTTCTAATTTTCTGATTCGCAATTCCTTAGCCATCTGCTTCGTTTTAAATTTCCTAAAATTTACAATCTTTCGTCTCAGGTTTCTTCTCTGCATGTTTTAGTGAATACATGGACCAATTTATATTCACAGCCCTCGGAACTATTTTTATATCGGTATGTGTAATAATTTCTCCATGTCAGAACAAGTCAATACATACTCTTCTGACTGGAGATATTGAGACAGTATTAGTTCGTCTAGTTTGTAGAGAATAAAGTTTTCAATTTTTTTTAATCGTGATCACACCAAACAAAGCAGTAAAGCCACTAAGACACAAGGGGGGCTACTGTGTGTGGAAGTATTAGAAAACAGAAGCATTACTCAGGAGAGAGAAAAAAAAAGAAGAGTTATCAGGAGGGCAATAGATAGCGATTGATAATGCATTTTGTTATGGGATCTTACCCATAATAATAATAATGGACTATTCCATACATAATAAATACTGCTCCTCAGGAGTAGTTCAAGGAGAGTCAGTCGTTCAAGTCGAGTCAGTAGTTCAAGTCGAGTCAAGAGTCGAGTCAGAGGCAGTCCGAAACAGAGTCGCGTTCAGACAATTACTGCAAGACATTGGAATAGTGATACTGGTCGAGACTACATTGTTCTCCCTACTAAACCTGATTGTTCGTACTAACACTTTCTACTTCTCTGTATATATTCCTGTTTGTAATATATCTGTGTTATTCCATATCCGTGTTCGAGTTCTTCTTTATTGGTTCTACCTTGGACTATCACCGGGGTACAAGGAACCGGACCATAACACATTTAAACTTTCGAAGATTAACGTTGACTGAAAAGCAAGGAGTCGAAACGGAGTTTCACAAGAGAGAAGGAAAAGAAACTGCTAGCATAGAACTTACGGTTACATCTAGCCAATTGTATATCATTGTGACCTCGTCACAATGATATACAATTGTAGAACGTAGACGATCATGGCTCTCCACCTCTTTCTATCTCATGTAGCTCTCAACAAGTTCCTTCCCTCTTCCACCTCCCCCAGACCACGTTCTGTCATCCATTTTGCTTAAGGCCGCTACGTATGCGATGCGTTGCTTTTCCTTGTTCCTCTTTCCACTCTATTCGACCCGTGAGTATCAGATTCTCCAGGCCCTCTTTCCTCTTTATGTGTCCCAGGAACTTCAGCTGCCTCTTCCTGATGTTAAGTATAAACCTGCACCTTGTTTGCTTCCACTCTAAGACCTCATCGGTGCTCACACGCTCGGTCCATGATATCCTTAGCATTCTTCTGTAGAACCACATCTCAGTCTCTTCTTCATCTTTGAGGAAATCGTTCAACATTTGCTGCCATAAAGAAGGACAGATGTCACGTAACAGCTCAGTATTCTTTTCTTCGTTACCAAAGAAATCCTCCTGTCTTGCAATACTCTGTCCAGCTTTTAGAATGCATCCATGGCCATCCCAATACGTCTACCGATCTCAGTGTCACATTTACCGTCCTCTGTCAAGACGCTTCCCAGATATTTAAACTTTCGCGTTTGCTTGATTCTAGTGTTCCCGACCTGCAAATCACATTTCGGGCTCATCTTTTTACTGATGACCATGCATTCTGTCTTTTTGTAGTTTATGCTTAGTCCCTTCTTCTCGCCCTCCTTCAGTTTCCCTCGTAGGAGGTGTTGTAGCTCCCTTTCCGTGTCTAAATAGCAATTCGAAAAACGAAAGACAATAAAGGAGTAGGGTACGGAGAAAAGATGACCAGATTTGTTCCTCGCTGCAATTTTTGTGTGAATACAATAATAGCGTTTTTTCGCTTTGGGGTGTTTCGATACAAAAATTAGTGTTATGGGACCTTACCCATAATAACATAATGGACTATTCCATACGTAATAAATACTGCGCCTCAAGAGGAAGCAGAGAGTTCAGTCTGAAGTCGGACGACCGGCTGACCGGCTGATCGGTTGACCTCTCTGCCTTCGGGCGGAGAGGAACCCGAACGAGGCTACGCCGAGGGGCGGAGTCTCTTTCGGGGAGGTAAACCGATCCTGAACCCGTTTATACGGGTTCAAAGGGCATATTTTTGGCCGAGCCCATGCTTGATTCTAGTGTTCCCGACCTGCAAATCGCATTTCGGGATCACCCTTTTACTAATAACCATGCATTCTGTTTTCTTGTAGTTTATGCTTAGTCCTTTCTTCTCACTCTTTTTCGCTACCTACTGTAGAAGATTTTGTAATTTTCCGTGTCTGCTATCAGTACTGTGTCGTCTGCGTATCTTACGTCGTTCCACGCCAGTCTAGTACTGCACTTAAATTCAAAAGGTCCAGGTAGTACAGAGAAGAGCTCACCGAAAAATTACCATGAAAGTATTTATAGAAAAGGCACAGGGAGGCATCCTTGCGGTGATGGGAAAGAGACTTGAGGCCGAGATGCCAGAATAGGGCCAATAATATTGTTGATATTTCTTCAAAATTTATCCAGGAGTTCTAGATAAATAGCACCGGACCATATGTGGCAGGAATATTCTAAGCATGTACAAATGGTAGACTTGTAGATTAATTTCAGAAAGCGAGGATATCTAGAGAATGTTCCAAGAGAAACGATTCTTCACTGCAGAAATTCGTATGAATGACACAAATTTTGGTGAAAAAAAAAGATTGTGGTGTCTTGGTGCCATAATAAAGTGCTCATCTAAAGGATTACCATGAAAGTATTTATAGAAAAGGCATGGAGGAGGCAACTTTACAGTGATTTTGTTTTATTCGGCTGAGGAAATTATAGCTGTGAGGAGGATGTATTCACAGAATATTTAAAAAAGGTATATTCAGTAAAATGAGGAGAAAAATGAAAAAATGCAGAGATATGGTCATCATAAATATCAATTCGAGAAAATCCAAAAAGAAAAGAGAGAAAAAAGG